AACGAAAATAACACGGTGTCGCGCATGCATTCGTAATATCTTTATCGCGATGGAATGACGAGACGCAACGAACCTACGGTCGGGTAAATACAGGGTTATTACCGAACGAATAGACGGTTTCAACGTTTTAGAGGAAACGCGGCGCTCGAGATACCGAGACGTGCCTCGGGACGTGGAAACTCTTCGAGATTTCTTACTGAAACTTACAGATCTTCAATCTGTTCGCCCCGCGCTCCTCGATATCCTTCCTCTCCGTTCGATCCTAACACCGCTTCTTCCATCTTGGACCGAGGCATTGTACCTCTTTCTGCGAACGCTCTTCTGTTCCTGCGTGATTTTTATTTTCATTTTATTTTGTTTCATTTATATGGCGGTTCCAACGGGGAAACCGTTTGCTATACGAGACGAAGTGGAATTATTAAAGAATTAATAGACTTAGTCGCTGAAAACTATGACTGTTAAAATGTTAAGGTCTTGTTTGCTGCGAGAAAGGTTGTAGTTTATAATTATAATATTGTTTCAATAAATATAATTATATTATAATATACAGGGTGTCCCAAAAATGTCTCGCAATCCGAAAGTGGCGGGTTCCTCGGGTCTTTCGAAGCAACTTTTTCCTTTATAAAAATTTTCTCCGAGGCACCGTTAACGAGTTATTAACGAAAAACAGTGACCAATGAGAGGCGAGCTCAGCTGGCGCGTGGCGACCGACCCAATGAGCGGAACTGGGCATCGTGCGCTGGTTGGCTGGGCCGCCTCGCGTCAGCCGTGCTCGATTCTTATTGGTCACTGTTTCTCGTTAATAACTCGTTAACGGTGCCTCGGAGAAAATTTTTGTAAAGGAAGAAGTTGCTTCAAATGATCCGNCCGAGGGAGATAAATTTAAATATGTTTGTGTACCCGCGGAAGTCGGGGGCGAGCCGGTTTCCCAGACGCGTCGTGCACCCTTGCTGTCGCAGGGGTGGGGCTCGATCGGCGAGCCGATAGAGGGAATCGACGTACCCTGAAAATGTTTGGTGAAAAGCGAGAACGGGGGAGGAGTAGGCGCACGTTTCTCGGTGACTTGCTCGAAAAGTACCGGCCCTGTACGCCCGCTTGTATTCCCCCTGTTGGTGCATGCACGCGTTCGCCGGTGTGTGCGGCTGATGCACGCGATGCAACACAGCCCGCTTGGTTTTGTTCAACGGGGCAACACGAACAAGCTCGGTGTGTCTACGCGAGCCTTCTATTCATAGTGGAAACGAAAATAACACGGTGTCGCGCATGCATTCGTAATATCTTTATCGCGATGGAATGACGAGACGCAACGAACCTACGGTCGGGTAAATACAGGGTTATTACCGAACGAATAGACGGTTTCAACGTTTTAGAGGAAACGCGGCGCTCGAGATACCGAGACGTGCCTCGGGACGTGGAAACTCTTCGAGATTTCTTACTGAAACTTACAGATCTTCAATCTGTTCGCCCCGCGCTCCTCGATATCCTTCCTCTCCGTTCGATCCTAACACCGCTTCTTCCATCTTGGACCGAGGCATTGTACCTCTTTCTGCGAACGCTCTTCTGTTCCTGCGTGATTTTTATTTTCATTTTATTTTGTTTCATTTATATGGCGGTTCCAACGGGGAAACCGTTTGCTATACGAGACGAAGTGGAATTATTAAAGAATTAATAGACTTAGTCGCTGAAAACTATGACTGTTAAAATGTTAAGGTCTTGTTTGCTGCGAGAAAGGTTGTAGTTTATAATTATAATATTGTTTCAATAAATATAATTATATTATAATATACAGGGTGTCCCAAAAATGTCTCGCAATCCGAAAGTGGCGGGTTCCTCGGGTCTTTCGAAGCAACTTTTTCCTTTATAAAAATTTTCTCCGAGGCACCGTTAACGAGTTATTAACGAAAAACAGTGACCAATGAGAGGCGAGCTCAGCTGGCGCGTGGCGACCGACCCAATGAGCGGAACTGGGCATCGTGCGCTGGTTGGCTGGGCCGCCTCGCGTCAGCCGTGCTCGATTCTTATTGGTCACTGTTTCTCGTTAATAACTCGTTAACGGTGCCTCGGAGAAAATTTTTGTAAAGGAAGAAGTTGCTTCAAATGATCCGAGGAACCCGTCATAATATATAAAATTATATATTATAATTATAATACAATTATAATTATTGAAACAATTGAAAGAACATCATTCCAAAAACACTCAGCAGGTGTGTAATAGCGTAGGAGAGAGAGAGAGAGAGAGAGAGAGAGAGAGATGCAGAATATCAGGAGAGGAAATATGATTACGGATAACTTATGCACAAATAATGGATCAGTCACGGTACAGTGCTGATCCGCTCGTTTCCACAGCACTTAATCCACTGTTTTGTTTATATTTGTTGCGCAAAGAATGTAACGTGTTTGCCAGGTTTCTGGGAAATTTGAGGGCCCTGCCATTTTTTCAACGGATCCTACAAACACGGAAAATTTGCATACGCTGTTGTTATCTTTGCACAAAACGGCGCTGCCCTGTTTCACCGCGTAGGAAATATCGTGGTGTTAATGGAAAATTAAAAATTCAACGCAGAGGTACCTGTGCAATGAACTTGCATTTCTTGACGAAGGGTGCCGGGCGCTATCGCCAACTAGTTCGCCAATTTTTGCGATTGATGGCTCGAAAAGCCTGCGATGCACCGAAACGTGCCAGAAGTAATTTAAAATCTGGTGCCGTTTCGCGAAACGTTCATTACTTTCTCCTTTCCTTTTCGATGCTCCACGTGCCTCCTGCGAGGGTGGAAATTCCTGGTCGAAGCTGCGCAGCATTTTTTACGCATTCAGCATAATGTAATTGAAATACATTTTATATTTGTTGGCGCTCTTTTGCCGGGGCTCGCTACAAAGAACACAAAAAATGGCATCCGGCCCGCGCGGTGGATGCACGGGAAACGTACCCGGCCAATTTTATTTCCCGACAGCAAACAGCCAATAAAGATGGGGCGGGAACTTAAAAAATCGTCGAATGAACAGAGATCCGAGCCGTTCCGTTTCAATGTTCTATTCACGATCCGTGTTAACGGTCCGACGGTTCCTTGTACAGTCGTTTGTCGAATATTTAAAAACTTGACTCGATCGGCGAATAAACAAAGTCCCGAGTGTTCCTATTCGAACGCGGTTGTGATCTCTCCCGCAGTTGCGATCGGATGAAAAGGATTCTCGGGCACACACGACTGATATACAGGGTGAGTCACAAATTAGTCCCACGATGGTCTGACAAAAAATGTTTCCTATCGAAGTTAATTAGCATTTGACCGACAAGAGATTGCAATTGTTCTTTAAAAACAAATTTAATTAAGCTGAAAAATGTTTACGTCCATTTGTTTATGTTTACATGCAAAGCCTTAATGTTATGTATCGCGAAATTCGTCTCGACGTCGCCTACAATACTATGAAGTTAAAAATACCTAGTTTCTATTGAAAAATATAACGGTAACATTGTTTTTTTAAATCGAAGATCAATCTGTTTTCAAATTCAAACAATTACAATTTCTTGTCGGTTAAGTACTAATTAACTTCGATAGGAATAATATTTTGACAGAGACCATCGGAAAGGACTGCGAAATCGCGGGGACTAATTTGTGCCTCACCCTGTATATATGTATACCTGTCACCCAATTTACGGGACACTTTTCAACGCGAGTCTCTTTTTTTTATAAATTATAACACCATTTACGCGGTATCGAATTTCGACGAAATTTCACGGAACGTTGCAGCGAATGCCGGCAAAATGAAAACTTAGCGAAAGAAAATATTGACAAAAATCATTCGAACAAGTTACATTAACAATGAAAATGAACTCGAACTTTCAAATATTTCAAGCGATCAAGATGGCGAATCTCCCGACAATTATAAAGAAAAGGTTGATTGTTTTAAAAACGACAGTAGCGACGGTGAAATAAATAAATTAATCTGTATAACTCGTACCAGCTTTCATATATCGAATATTGTTTCTTCCGTATTCGCGGACACGCTACGGGATTTTCATTCGTGTGAAACAAATCCACGTGGAACAAAAATTCGCGTAAATTGAGGGACGGGTGAAATACTCTTGTTCGAGGAGCCGGAGGTGGAGACGGTGCTAGTATCTGGATCGTAAAGGTCGATCCGGCTTAATAATAATAATGGGAAATATACGGGACGTTTAAAAACATATACCCCCGAGCCGGGCGATAAATTCTTGCTCGAAATGGAGGCGAAAGTAAACAGTGTCGCTTCGCGCGGCGGTCCCCTTCTAAATATCGCAACAATTTCGCTGAATGTAAACCACAACCGGTTCCAGCAGGGGAGCGGGGCCAGATTCGACGCGCGCGATAAACCCTCGCGTCGAGCGAGAATCAATTGGTCACCGTGAGAAATCAAGATCGTGAACTCTTGATCCTGCGGCGGGTCCGGCGATCGAGAATGCGGCGCGCGCGGCCCGTTCGACAAACTGGCGTCGGCCCTCGACAAATAACCGTCCTGGAACCATTCGCGCCGCCGCGCCGCACCGATAAGGGCCTGGGAAAACGACGTAATCCTCGCGAACGGCGAAACAACCGGCATTATACACACCGAAAACCGATACCGATCTGCATCGCGCCGTCCGACAAAATGTTCGATCCGCGCGCGGCGTAATGCGACGTTAATGATCGCGGGGCCCGCCGATTCGTGCACGCATATAGTGCTAATTGCGAAACTCTGGGCCTCTCGCGTCTTCGAAATCAACCGGGAACCCCCCGGCCCGTGCCTTTATTACGCTCGTTATGCAGATTGCTCGCCGATGTGGCCGCAATTATGCGCGAATATGTAGCACAAAGTGGAGGGACTTGTAACGCGCACTACGGTTTGGATCCATAGGAACACAATTAAACCTAAAGTATTGCTGTTATTTCTTGACCTTTCGCGAAAGCAAGCTATTCTCGTCGAGCCGATTTCAACGGATCGATTTGTACGAGATTTGCTCTAATTTTGACGGGAATTCTGTTCCAGGTGTAACTGTATCGGGGGAAAAAAAGCGGGGAAAAATGAGGATTCGGAAAGAAGTACTGCCAAAAAACGGTGAGAATGCAGCGATTGTACTCACTTTTTAAATACTTACAGCATAAAGACTAATAGTTTAATTCTGCTACTAAAACTAATTCTGACCAACTTGCACGAATTCTTTAACTGTTAAACCGTGTGTTTATGCATGCCACAACGTTCATACATAATTTAGGATAATTCGTCTCGCATATTCAAATCTTCGCTACGTAATATTTCTATTTAGCCAGTAAGTTTTTGCAATCCCTTTGAACAGTGTCTAAGTTACTGTTATTATATCGATTGATTTTCTTCGTATTTTATTTAAATACAACACTTCTATAAAATAGATAATTCAATAGCGAGTATCAAACTATACATATAACATTGCCATGAAGAAATGGTAGCATTTTGTGTAATAACGTGTAAACACCAAATACAGCTACAGTAAATTCTCCCTAATTTTCCTTCAGCTTGAAGAAACGACTATATAAATCTGTTTACACTCGTGCAAAAAATTTCAGGTATACAGGATTAATTTAGTCTTATTTAATTTTGTATCCTCGTTCGACGACGAACTTTTTCCTGGTAATTTTTGCCATACAGACTTTCGATCGTCGGAAGTAAAATTGATAACGTCTAAAAGCGACCAAATATCGCGCAAGGGCGGCCGAATGGAAACCGTGCGAGGATTGAAGAAAGTTCTCCCGCCGTGAAATCGGTACTAAAGAGAAGTACGTGTGTGGTGTGAACACGGATTCGCAAGTACGAAGTTAAGGTATACCGTCGGCAAGGTTAACAAGAACGGTTTACCTGGGACAAGCGTGTCCAGTGCTCCCGTGTCTCGTCACCTAATATCCATAGCCAGGAAATTCCTCTGCCGTATTTTCTAGCCGTCTCGCCGGGCTGCGATACTCTTCCGAGGAACTTGCAGCAGCACGTAACAGGAGAGGCGACTGGGTCGGCCGTGTCCCGGTGTCTCGTTCCAGGACATTTTTTCCGGAGTTTCCCCAGAAGTGAGCCGCCACCCTTCCCATTGTTCCGCGCGTGGCTCATTTACAAAGTTACATTTATGCAGCGTAACTTTATCCGGCGGGCTGGGGCGCCAGGGCGAATCGACTGAGAGCTCGTTCAGTCTCCTCGAAAAAAAAGAAAGAAAGGGGGAAGAAGACCGGAAGATAACAAACGTAAGAAGCGCCAGGGGATTGTCCGCTGGAAATTGTTGTCGCGCGTTCCCCCGTCTTCCGCGGGCCATTCAATTAGCCGGTTAATTTCTATGCCGGATTAAAAGTTTCGCTCGTCGCGGCGCGCTGCCCGCCCGGGCATTACCGTCCGTTTCTGGCACGAAAAATCGCGTCCAAGAATCGTTTCCCGCGGTTAAAATCCATGGAGGCTTCTATTCGCGGCCAAAAGCAAGAGGGGTGCGCCGAGCTGAGAGTAATTTAACGTGGCCCGACGAATGGCCATTGATTTACGAAGCATCAAACTTCGTCGAAAGTTAGCCCCGCGTATCGAGACCTCGGCATCCCTGCCCGACCGCCAGCCCCGCGCCCTTCCGGTTTGTTCTTAGGCTGCAGTTAGCGGATTCGATTTAACTTCTCCTTGCGGGTGAACGACATGGCGCTCGACTGGCAGCGTGCTCGCTAGACCAACCTCTACCGATCCAGAGTTTAGGAGGGACGAGCGCAGAAGCGAGACCGAGCGAACGGCCCAGAGAAAGATGCAGCGGCAATAGATGCCCACCAAGAGCAATTGGCCAATATCGAAAGTGTTTGCCGATAATCTGCTGCGGGGCTGTTCTTGTTAGTTACCGCGAACTTGGATCCCCCGCCGCTTTTTCCTATTCCCTTCTGCCTCTGGACCGTTCCACTGGCAGGAACGCGACGAAAATCAAATCTTCCTTTCTGCGTGCAAGTTTCGGCGAGCTTGCGCAATTGTTTCCGAGAGATTCGATAGCGAGGAGCTCTCGCGGAATGGCCACGTTTGCTGGCGAAATTGGTGCGCTCTGCTTCGTTTTTATATTGGCTCAATTATCTGTTTACTTGTTCACGGTAAAATGTTGTTCACGTTAATTAAGAAGTGTTTATTCGAGCATCGCGGCTTGTCTGAAAAAATGACGAGTCACTTAATTTTTTATTTTACGATTATTTATATGGTAAAGATACATTTGTGAGTTATTTATTCAATTTATATGTTAGTTACAGCAACACTGTTGTTACAATAACACCTGTTAAAAATCAGAACAAATGTCTCTTATCGTCTCTCTCTCTCTCTCTCTCTCTCTCTCTCACTCTCATTCCAAGTAACATCAAATTTAACAAAAAGGTACTTTAGGCATTCTACTAATCGCTCCAACGTCTCTAAAACATTCAAATCATGTAGATCAGTTTTAATACTAGGTATACGAAACTCGCTAAAATGACGGGTCATTAATTTTTTCATTTACTATCATTCAGATTGTAAAGATACATTTTTATGAGATATTTGTTCAACATACGCGTTACTTAGGGCAAATGTTACAATAACACTCGTTGAAGATTAGAATAAATGCCTTATTGTTACTTCTATAAACTACTATAAAACCGCTGTTTTTATGCTCCGTAAATCTAGTGTTAAACGAGGTATGAAACCATTTAGTTGTTCACATATTTAGTGGAAAACTCGTATTAAGTGAAGAGGTAATCAGTAAATTCGAACATGGTAGACATATTTTAAGAACGAATTCACAATGCAAACCTAAAATTGGGACAACAGAGCAGGATATTTTCGCCATGTCCTTGCTATAAATGAAATTGCATTAAAAAACAATGTAAATCAGTATGTCACTTCAAAGTTAGATTCCATATTAGAGGGTTAATATAACGTTGTAATGAAAAAAACGCTTTATTCGTTTTTTATTTTACCTTTACTTTTACTTTAAAAAGTTCGATGTACAGTAATGTCTCCCTAATTGACGCTTAGATTGTCCACAAAAATGGACAATTTGGGAAGAGGAGCCTTGCGATTCGTTTTTATAGTTACCGATTGTCAACGATTATAAAAACATAGTGCAAAGCCGGAATAATCGTATCTCCCGTTCCCAAATTGTCCATTTGTCTGCACAATCTAAGCGTCAGTTAGGGAGACGTTACTGTACCACATTTTTATCACTTTATACAAGAGCTAACAATAAAATCCAACGTTAATCTAGAATCAGACAAACACATATAGTATATCAGTAATTTTTGTTTAAATTCTTGCATAAAACCTCTGAAATTTCAGGGTTGCCGGCGGTTTGTAAAGAGAGCGGCAATTGAAAAAAGTGCATGGGTGATGCGCAACCCCTGTAGCTCTCTCTGTCCCGGGGTTAATAATTCGCTGCGGGGCGTCGATGGGCGTCGAGGCGACGTTTCGTTTTCCGTTTAGAACCGCGTCGAGAAGGTCGTAGGCGTCGCTATCCGTAGGAGATCGGTGGCGGAACGGTTCCTGGGCCGGGGCTTAGTCATTAAACACGTAGCCACCGTTTCAGCCGCGCGGCTCCCCATTATTCCGAGAAGAGTTTGCGGAACGTGATCTCTCGTTTTCCGGCTCCTACCGAAAATGCCGGATGAATGGAGCGCGATTTCAAGGTGCGCGGAGAGCCTGAAAGCCCCCGTAAATACGGTTTTTCACGTCGTTTTCGGGCCGCAGGAAATTTGCCGAAAGGGCAGGAGGTCGACTGCTGATGGAGGGATGGGGACCAGGGGGATAGAGGACGGGGATGGGATGCCGGGTAGATCGGGAGAAAGATAGAGACGCAATAGGTGGTTCATTCAACGAGCCAACCCCCGCAGTCGAGGGTAAAAGCGACAGTTTAAGCCCATTAGGATATTTATGGATTGGCCTCCCGACTACGGGGTGGGGGTGAGTGGCGAGGCTTGCTGCGGTGCGGCGCGGCGCGGCGAGGGGAAAAGGGGCAGCATACACGAGGGGTTAGAGGCTATTCAAAGGTCTGACGGCACGCGACTCTCTCACAACGATTCCTTTTGCTTTCGGCAACCGACGTCGACGCGAACACCTTTCCGAGGTGGGTGCGTCAATCCTCTCTCTTCCTCTCCCCCTCTCTCTCTCTCTCTCTCTCACTCTCTCTCTTTATTCCTCGCTCTTTCTCTTTCTCTTTTTCTCTGCACGCGATCCGAGCACCGAAAAACGAGACACGGTGATTTATGAGACGATGCTGGACGAATCTCTGCAACAAGGGTCGTCGAAACGTCTCAATTGCTCCGGTTAATCCGCTCCCCCTATCGGCTTACGCTGTCACGGTGTATTCAGGGTGTTCGACCACGTGTGGCAGATATTTTAACCCTGTGTCGTCTCCGCTAATTTGGCTGTCGATGCCGGTTAAGCGGAATGCGCCTTTTTCGCCGCTTTAAATTCTGCGTTACGCCCGTGACGCTACGCAGTGGCTTCCAAAATTGCAACCTATGCACTCGATGATATGCAGATAATGCTAACGCCGGTGTAAAGGTCAAACCTAGATATTGTAGCTTTGTTCCTTGGTATTGATAATGGAAATTGATATGGAAAAGTAATATTCTTTTTCATCCAATTGACGTCTGCATTAATAATGTAGTTATTTTTGCTGATTTACGTTATGTTCATGATTAACCGTTAAGTAACCAAGCAGCGCGATCGCACTGTTTACATTTTATGTCGAAAACTCCCAGGACATTTGCACGCTATGGACGACTGACGATGCGCTCACAGACTATCGAAGTAGCGCGCTCAACTTTATCGACGCACATACATCGCATAGCTGCTTTTTTTAAATGTAAATAATGCAACTAACACATTTTGTATTTCATCGTTATCTTCTCAATAATTTTTATTGAACAAAACTTGGAATATTTGTGAACTAACAGTATGCATACTGAGACAAGCGTTACCGCGCTCTTTGGCGTTTTCCGACGACACTTGGGACTCCTGTGTTTTTTTCAAGGACCCCTAATGCCACAGTTCCAAATACTGTTCCAAATGGACTGCAAGGTCACACACAAGAATATGATTATAAAATGAGCCGT